TGAAAAGAAAGATGAACCTGAAGGATACGAAAGACTTACATGTGGGTCAACTTCAATAGAAGTGGTAATATTGGTCAGATGTTTTAAGATAGGTTCATAATCATCTTGGATCATATCCTGAGTCATATCAGACCCTTTTAGCACGTTGGGCCAGAATGATGGAATTCCTTAGATCCATTATCAGGTTGTGACTTGTCATTTAGTTCCTGAAACCAGTGCTTTTGCTTGTAAAGGTATACTTTATCTGGTATTGACAAAACCAAATTTACAACATCAACGCAGAGCAAGATATTTGGACCATCAAAGTTTGAAAACCGTAGATAACCGTAGATTTGTAGTGCGCTGAAGCTACCAAGTCAAACAGCTCATAAATGAAACTTTTACACAAAGAACTGCACTTAACACATCAGGCCGATCGGTTCCTCACACTCTTCCAATCAGTTAGAGTATTGAATAATAAACTTGAAATCAATGAACGTCCCCACAATAAGACAATTGTAAACACGCGGAAATATTGATGACGGATGACAATAGAAACGCTGGTAATTGCTGCTGAAAATCCAAAACGCTTGCTTAATCGAATAAGGTTTGACTCTATTCTTTTCATCAAAAAAACGACGGTTAGCGATAATACCAAGAATCGTTTGGTTCCACAGGAAAAACATTGCATCGAACGCAAATCTGATGAGGAAGACCGACTCTAATATAATTTAGGATGCAGCATTAGGCTAACCAAAAAGAAAAACAACCAGCAAAACCTAGTAAGTCCAAGGACAGGAGGAAATTTGTAAGCTTACAAAAATCTAGCAAAACTAAAAATCAAAAAAATGTACCACTATGACCCATACAGACTATTTATATGGTCGGCACTATGGTTGAACTTTATGTATCGTTCCATTCTAATAACCACTTTTTAAATACAAACCCGTAATCTACGCTGGCTAAAACATCACTCATTTATGCATCGACTTGCGCAAACATGACAAGATTTGGTACAAAAAAACTCTGTTTACATTGAGCAAGTCCTTTACAATTGATGAACTGAGTCAACCCGACCAAACTTCATTCTCCTTTAGTTCGTGGATTATAGGAAGCTGAGCCTCGTCATCTTTCGGCTTGTTCTCTCCACCAACTATCTTCCATCGCTGAAAATTGCATTTCGCAGGCGCACGACTAAGGTAGGTGCCAGAGTAAGCGAATATTTTGTTCAACTTCGTTCAGCTGCAAAAGGCGCATAGAATTAACGTGTTTCTGCGCGGGACCTGCAGCTGAATCAACGTGGCAGCAGTAGAGATTATGCAGCAGACATTAATTCTGCGCGCCTTCTGCAGCTAAACGAAGCTCAAAAATATTCGCTTATTTTGGCACCTACCTAATACGCATATACGCGTGGATGGGGGGGGGGGGGAGACTCTTATCGGCCATTCATAACACGCACAGACTGGCCGCCGTTGCGTCCGACCAATATAGCACGTGCGAAGGAGAGGCAGAAAATTGTAAGAGAAGCGAAAGAGCGCCCGATCATAGAGACGCCGATGTGTCCGCAGTCTTTGCGCGCAATAAATCGCCTATACCTGCTAGTAAAGTTTATTAAATCGCTTTCAAATTCCTTTTGAAACTAATGAACATGTTCGTAGAACCTCGCTTCATCCTGAAATGAATTGAGAGAGCAGGCGTTTGATTTTGCTTTTCGACTTACTTCTATGCCACGAGCCGCACTTTTTCGAGAGCGCAAACGTGCTTTTTAACAGTAAGCGGAAAAGCTCCAATGTAATCTGGGACGCCCGAGTCTCCACCGTCCTTGAGAAGATCGGCAAGATTACGTTTATCGCCCTTCATTTTATTATATGGACAATAGTGCAACTACCTTCAGCAAGCAACAGAACGAGAGTGATGAAATGTGAATACATTCGGAGAAACGGACAATTCTACGGAAATTTGTCACAAAATGTACGGGCGGCAAAGCCATTGCGAAATAAAAGGTTATTCTAAAGGTTTATGATGGCTGTGCACTTCACATGAATGAGCTATGATGAATAATATGCGAGAAAAAGTATGCATATATGAACTATATAATAGTTACGGTGAGTGAACTGTGCTTTCAAATAAACGAACATCTCTCTGTTGAAAAGAAAAAGAAGATAATCAAACCAAATAGAGTGAGAAATGGTTCAAACTTTTAGTAACTCACTAAAAAGGAGAGCACCTACTCGAATCAGCCCACCTCTGCAGATAGTATTTCATGCCCACACTTGAAGATGATGAGAGGTAGAACCGGAGAGAAACAGCAATAACAAGAACCAAAAAAAGTAAGACCTGGATGATGATCTGCCATCCATCAGCCGGCTATCCTCACTGCATGCAGGAATGAAAATGAGTTTGATCGCGAATGATGGCGTCCCTCCGATACCTGTCGGCACTTGTCAAGCACGTCCGGTTAAACCCGAACGAGTCAGAAGGCCGATCTATTGTATTGATACGCGTCGGAACAATCCCGACGCAATTGCCGGTGAAGTCGGGACAACGGCAGGACACAACTTTGTCCCGAAACAAACCGAAAGTGGGCGGATCTCCGGCGGTCGTCAGCCGCGAATGTCTGAGTTGGTGATGTGGCTTAAGAAACGCTATCTGCATGATTAGGTCCAACAATTGTTGGCAGTGGAAGCAAGTGTCAAGCGTGTAGTCTTTCATGTTTAAACAGGGTACATGTACAAACAAGTTTACTGAACAGCTCAGGTAATCCTACAGAAATCATGATTCGTTCCCGGACCAGTGAATATGACACCTGAGGACTAGCGTTTTAAGCTTTCACAGATTCTGCGCATTCATCCTTACTCTATTTGTTGATGCTTTGCCCTTCGAGTACGCCTTCGTATTGCACATTTCAAATGCTTGCTGTTGTTTTTAGTGAGTACTGATGAACAAAGTGATTTCAGGATCGTTTTCTGCACAGAATCTGTGAAAGTTTGAAAATGGATCAAACAGTAGCGTCCGACTTTGTAAGTTGATGGAACCATTCGCTTCATTCATGCTGTTGAGTTATACACTTCAGTCCAAAATCGCTTGCCGACTGCTCTTAGGCCAAAACGGATTCGGTACTTCTTCTGCGGTAAACACCCACCTATCATTTTCGATTATACTCCACCCTAAGAGCTCAGGCTTCTCTGCGTTTCAGCCTTCATCAACTCCTCCATCTGCCACTGGGCCTACGGCTACTGATATGGTTTGAAAGAATATAGAATTTTTTCTCCTAAATAACAGGTTTTTAGAATGTCCTTGAAGATATTGAGAACACACCAAGATTTTCGGGTCAGAATGTTCCCACAGTATGTCCGACTAACAGTAGTTCTTTCTTATTCAATTTCCAAGCGCCAAAAATCTTTATGGGCGGCTACAGAATTTCGGTTTTCTTCTTTGCCATCGATATGCCATCTTTGCCGAGATTATGTAAAGCCGAAAAGATGTTTGGTACTTCAATTCTCTTTGAACTTCATTGATGATATTGAGTATTACGGGTACCAAAAGATAGGCTTGGTGACGCAGTGAGAAGCCTGTCCTTGGAGATGTTCAAAGCAACTCTGTCGGAGCCGTACGAATTGGTGAAACCCACGCAGCCGAACGCAAAGGCCATGCCATCCCTGGATCCGAAATCTAGGCCCGTATGCACGTACATCCCCGCGGGGAGGGGATGTGCGCTTAACCATTGAAATGATCCCCGCTGGGGATCCCCTCCCCTCCCCGCACAAACCCCCGTATGCACAAAGACAATATCGGACAAGGGATCCCCTGTGGGGAGGGGAAGTGAACCCCCTTATGCACAAGAGGGGATCAAGCGGGGAAATCACCTTGCTTTCAAATTTTCTATGAAAAACTCTTTTTCATTTCATATTTTGACTGCAACTCATCTTCATCTCCTCACTTTCAATAATTTAGGGTTGCGGAATGCGCGTATGCAGTGACTGCGCTCGGGGCACTAAAAATGATTTTTTCTACTCCCATTATGTTCCTGCTTTCTTGGATGCTGCCCACTTTCGCTCATGCCCCATTTCAGCGTAAAAATGTTGAACTATAGAAGTTGATGTGTCTCTGCAAGGGAATGGGTAGAAGACGTTATGCTGCCGAAAAGGGGGGGGGGGGGGTGCCGCGCGAGCGCTCAAAGCAGTATTCTAACACATAACAGAAGCTGCGAATTGTGCCAGCTCTCCATAAACGCTGTAGCTATCAGCTGCATATCGTGCTTTATCCCAGGGGATTGATCCCCAGCAGCCATCCCTGCTATGCACAAGGGGAACGCTGGGGAGGGGATCGCTCCCCAGGGGATTTCTACTCAGAAATAGGCAAATATGCTACTTTCTAGATTTTTTCAAGGCAGCTCATGTTAAAATAACAAGATAATGGCAACATGTCATGAAATATGGAAGTTACAATGTGTTTACTCAGCCTATATAGTTAAAACTATTATGTTATATGAAAAATGCGCAAATTTTCTGAATGATCAAGAACTCCTACAAATAATCGAAATTGGCAGCTATCATTGCTCGGATTTTTTCTCAAGAGGCGAATATAGAAAAGAAAGACAAATTGCAAGCCACAGGTCGCTGAGAGAAGAACCCGGCTTTCAAAGAAAATCCTCCATCAAAATGAACGAAATGCTTGGTAATGACTGAGCAAAACCAGAATATCCGCGTTTCTGGCATGATCTACACCATCGAACCCCTACTTCGTTGCAGGGGATGTCGATCCCCTCCCCCGCGTTAATGAGTTGAATTCGCGCATACGGGGTTCGAGTGGGGGAAGGGAAGGGATCCCCTCCCCCATTCGAACCCCGTATGCACTGGGGTTCGCTCGATCAATACCTCTGAAGCCATTCACACCATCCCCGCCTAAGTGCAGGGGAGGGGATCGCTCCCCTCCCCTCTGTCATGGCGGGGTTCGGCGGAGGGGATCGTTCCCCTGGGGATCCAGCTCCCCTCCCCTCCCCAGCGGGGACGTACTTGCATATGGGCCCTAGAGTGATTATCGAGAGGGTAAAGACTTTTTTCGAAGAAATAAAACGGAGGCTCGGCAGAGAATGCCGCGGCACGATCTTCGACTTGCCGGGGAAGCTCGCTGCGTTAGCTTGCGGAGTATCAGAGGCGACGGTCTACCGAGTAGCGAAGACGCAGGCCGGAATGGTGCACCGCCCGATTCCTCGCACGAAACACGTGGATCGGAATCCCCGCCAGCGAAAGAGAGATGCCGTACAGAAATATGGCGACCAATGGGGCAGCGTGGTGCGTCATTTCATCCACGACAAACTGCGCGCGGAGAGGAATATTACGGTAGAGGACGCATGGAAGGAGCTGAGCGAGATTCATGAGGGATTCCGGATGTCTCAGACGGAATTTTTTTATTTGCTGAAGGGCTTGCATTTTAGCTATAGGCAGAATGACAGGCAAGCCTTCATTTTCGAGTGCCCCAGCATAGTCAGAAAGAGGACGGCCTATTTGGATGCCATCGAGCGAGCTCGGTCGGAGAATCACTGTCTCGTCTTCATGGACGAGACTTGGGTTTTCGACTGCATGTCGAGCAAGAGAGGATGGAATGACACCTCCATCCCACGATTTGCCCCTGCCGCTACCATGCAGGAGTTCTCATGCGGAGGAAGAACGATGGCGAAGAACAAGGGCAGAAGGGCAATCGTGATCAGTGATCACCTCACCGATGAGTGTGTCGTTCCGGGCTCCACGAAGGTAATCGTTAGCGGCCGGAGATCAGTTGACGATGATTACCATCGCGACATGAACGCCGAAATTTTTGAGGAATGGCTTCGTGAGACCGTTCCTCATATGGTGAGTGTCGCGAATGGGCGTTGTGTGTCCTTGGTGATGGACAACGCATCTTACCACAGTCGTCAACTGCAGAAGGTAAACACTGAAGTTGAAATGTCATTAGGCCTCCAATCTCCTTATTTAAGATTCCCACCAAATCTTCAACGAAGGCCGTGATTGTAGATTACCTTCGGTCGAATGGAATGACAGTGGCCCACAATATTAGGAAAGAAGACCTGGTGAAAGAGGTAGCGATGAAACTACTATGGACTGATTGCCTTCATATAACCAAATTACAGCTCGATGACTTCATCACGAGCAGAGGTGGGCTGTCTGCTTTGCGCAGATACGCAACAGAAAGTATCTGCGCAGAGCATGGAGTTGCAGTGATAAGGTTACCGCCTTATCACTGTTTCTTCAACCCTATAGAGTTGTGCTGGAGCCAGCTCAAGGGCCACTTATGTAAGCTCGGAAGACCTGGCGACACGCTCGAAACGGTAAGTTGTGGCTTAGGTGCGCACACTTCAAAAAAATTCGGGTTCCCAGGTGAGAACACGGGCACTGGAATGGATGGCTGGTGTCCCGTTGGAGTTTTGCGCCGGCTGGTCATCCCACACGATGAAGGAAGAGATTGCTGCAAGGAATAAACTTGTAGCAGACCTTCATGAAGTAGATGAAGACGAAGATGAATCCTCAGACGGCGAGTTGGAAGATGAAGACCCACGGGACGAACGCGGAGGCGAGCTAGAAGCTGGGGTAGGTCGTAAGGGTTTCAATCTAATTCGCTATCAGCATGATGATGCGCTTCGCTAATCTCGCTTTCAAAGATATTCTTTAGGGGCGACATGATTTGGGTCCGGAGGAGTGTTGAACATATAGTGAATTTTCTTCGACAACTTTTAGTATATTTATTATCACTGTTTTCTGTGTATCTCTTAGACTAGATCTCAATTGTCATTTCGGATGTGATAGAAGATCTCAGTTGTTGTCACTTTTCAAGGTTCTTTTCAGTCATCATATCAATTTCAGGAAGTACTTTCATTACAATGTTGTTTAAGAGCCATAAAATCTTTGCAATGATGTACATGCACTAAAGCACTTGAACAAAATGGGATTTGGGGCAGCTGGATGCCGATATGATGCCCTACATCACGTGGCATTACCGCTGAGAGGAATAATAGAGGTCTAAGAAGGTTGAAGACAACTCTAAACCATGGACAGTTCAATAAGAGCACTTTGGGAAAGAGGAAGGGGGAGCATGGGGAAGGAAGAGGGAGAGGTGGGGAGGGGTGTAAGGGGAGGGAAGGAAGGAGGGGGAGGTGAGTGGGGAGGGAAAGGAGGGGGAGAGGAGGAGGGGGAGGGGGAGGAAGGGGAGAGGAAAGGGGGGGACAAGAGGAAGGGGAGAGATAAGGCGGGGAAATATGGAAAGGGGGAAGGAGGGGAAGGAGGAGAGCGCATGGAGACAGCCAAACATAAATCAAAATGGAAAAATCTCGTGGCATCGACTTGGATGCACATCTGATCAACAATACAAGAAAAAACAAAATGCATTTCAGATACTTACCCTTTAGGTGAAAAAAGTGAAGACGTCAGTCTGCAACATGTAGCAAAGGATACATGCAGCATGCCAAAAAATGCAGATGAAAATTTAAAGAAACGTCGTAAGCAAAAAAAGAGATGTGTATCCTGTTCAGATATGGAAAACAAATCGTACACACTTGGCATCTGCTTCCACTGCCATTAGCGCTTCTCAAGCTATTGCACCAAAGGATTCACATTCTCACAAAGTTGTGAAACCAACGTGCACAGCTGGATAGGGCGCCTTTGGATGGAAGCGCATGCAGACATGCACACATTAAAAGCAAACAGATTCTTTTGACAAGAAGTAATGCATGCTTAACTGGAAAAGTAAGAAAAAAACAAAGCACATGAGTTTTGCAACGCTTACTTTTCCAATGGTGTGATTTCTATCAGAAGCCTGCAAACAAACCGAAAAATTCATCAAAAACAAGCGAATGAACAAGATAAAGTAGAATAGAAGTTAAAAGTAGAAAAAAGTTCCGTAATCGGGCTGCCGATACAGAAAATCCACGTTGTGTCGGCAGGCGCGGAAATTATCTACAATATTGAGCCCGTACTGAGCATATCCTGCGCCTCACCTCAACTTTGGTCGTAGACTCTTCGTACAACCATGTTTTCGCCACCTGAAAAGAGAAAAAGGCGTGAAATGAAAAGAAAAACAAAAACAACTCACCATATCTAGCCTAAATCCAGCGCCGACGACGATATCGATCGCCGCCAGCGCCCACGACTCAATGACATCTGTCGTGAGCGGCGCAATGGCCGTACGCACGTACGACTCTCGCGATCCTGCAGGCTCCTATAAGAGCGAGGTGGAGCAAGTTAATAGTAAAAAATGTGCTGTGGATTGACATCGTTATCAGCATTAACGAGAACGTGAGCGAACGCATCTATTTGAGCGTGCTTATCGTTGTTATATGTTTATGTTTTTTTTGGTAAAAAATGCGCTTTTGATTGGCAGTTATGCCATCATTATTAGCAAACACTCAAAAAACTATGGGAGATTGGTGAATTTCCACAACTTCACGCAAAAACCCGCCCATTTCTGGAATCTATGCTCTGTAAACCTAGTGCTGAAGAAGGTCACTTTCGTGAAAACGCTCTAGACTCACCTTACCTAATTTGTAGAGAATGGTTGGTTTCAATGAATCAAAAACTCTAAGACATTCAGAAGAATAACATGTTATTAAAATATCCCTCAATGTTTTGGAAAGGTTGGCAGTCTGAAGAGGAAACGGCAGGCAGAAGACTTTGCAAAATCGCAGATGACTCGCATGTGTTCCACTTCAACAGCGAGGTAGAAGGAGAATCTTACACCGACGAAAATTTTGTCGACATTGATACAAAGTTGGCAATTAAGCGAAACTCTCTGATTTCCTGCATAAGGAATCCAAGCAGATTGTCTAGTTTCAATGAGGAAATGTCCAGGAAGTCCATTGCTGATCTTCAGATTGCTGAAGAATTCAAGGCTGCTAAATTCACAAACATGGATATGAACAAAAGGAAGGTGTTAGTACAAAGCATAGTTACTGCACTTAGATCCCGGCTGGAGTGCGAACCCAACTCTGCGCTTTATGCTTTTGAAAGTTATTCGCCTTGTGACAATATGACCTATGATATTGAAAAAAAACCAACGCGCAGCATAGTATGCTTCATTTTTAAAATCGTGACGACGAGTCGACTGCGGTCTTTCCGCACACAGAAGGATAATACACTCATACAAGCAGGCAACACTTCAACGCTAAGCTCAGTCACTTTCAGTTCCTGTCTACTATCATATGTAAGCAGAAAAACTATTTGATGAGATATAAAAACCAAGAATTGGGAGTGCGTGCGTGTTGCGCACGGTCGCGTCATCGTCACGATTTTTCGAATGCCCTATACCTCCTTTTTCGGCTATTCCGCAGATGCTGTTAAAGAAGAAGTTGAGCAGCTTTCTAATCAGCTAACAAGACGTATGCCAGAGGAGGTGAAGCCAGAGTTCGACAAGGCCCAAAAAGTATGCACTATTTCCTTCCCGTGTTGCGAAAGCATATGAGATCTGGCTCTTTTGCCATTACTTACCGCAAAAATCTGATGGACCTACTAGCAAAGCTAGTTTCCATTTCGACTAGCACGGCAGAGGTAGAGAAAGAAATTTTCAATCTACTCTGTTATCAGAACACAACGCAGAAGTCGTGCAACGATAGAGCAACTAAGCAAATACTTAAGATTTGTCAACCTTCTACTGAACACATTGTTATCTAAAAACTTCATTTAAAGGGTTGGTATAAGTGATCCAGACAGGCTGTCCGTATGACTTTTTGAAATATTCTAAAAGATGGTATGAAGAAACTGGTCACCTACCTGCTGACTTCCTGGTGCTACCAGAGGGCCAGGAAAAAAATTACGCTTGACCCTGCCTGAAACGCTTAATTCTTTAAAATTCTCGTTCGGCGGCCACCAGTCAGATCGACCTAATTTTTTCACTGTCTGGTAGTACAACACTTGCCCTTCAAAACCTATGAAGTCGCAATTGCTGACATCTTCATTAACCAGGTTTATAACAGTGGAAATTTTGCATGATTTTTCGTTACTTTATTATTAAAAATTCTGGTTCTCGCTTATTCCTTAGATCGACCTACTTTCTTCGCAGTACGTTATAACAAAATTCAATTAATAGAATACGAATATAAAGAAGTTAATGGAACTTTTGAGAAAGAAATTTTCTGCGAAAAGAGAAGTCGAGCTGTGCTTCCTTCCCCCCCCCCCCCTCCCCCTCCCCCGGTCGACCTTTTTGGGAGGTGAGTGTCCGGCGCTACTATCTTCACTTTCGGCCGGCCAGGGGTAGCTGGAACCACCTTCACTTTTGCGGGGCCCGGCTCCACCTATCGCACCTCTGCTGTACATAGTAAGTACACAGTTTTTTGCGGATGTGTTTTTTGTGATGGTATTGCGCAGAGCATTTTGTAAGAAAATAGCTATAATAAGCACCTTTCAGTAGAACGTGCCCACAATTATCCTCGGCGATAAGTTCTGGATGTTCCTACCCTAAACTGAAAGAATGATTGGTGAATCTTGCCAATAACAGGGCCCAGAACATTTTATATAAAAACAAGTCTGCAGCAGCAGCTCAGAAAACTGATTTGACATTGGTAATTCGGTCGGCGTGCCTTTTGAGTACTTAATTTGAGCTTGGCGTTGACCTGAGGTCCTATCATGCCCTGAAGAGTTTTTGTAAGGGTGCAACTCAATGCTTTTTACATAGGAAGGGCTCCCACAGGCAACACTCACTAGGGCAGCTTCTCGAGTATCCTAGCAGTTGAACAGAGGCAAAAAATCCTCTGATGTGGAAGCGAAAGCGGCTATCAATTTATGGAGAAATTCATATGCACCTAAAATATATCTAAGATAGTCTACAGTCAAAGCTATCTTCCGAACCAGATGCGATTCTTGCAACCAGCAGATCAGATAACCTTTTTGTATAAATTTTCCCAAGAAGAATGGTCACTTGATCTTTTCTCCTTTCTCCTTCTCGACCACGCCGCAGGTTTTGGCTGGAATATTTATGCTCTTGGACTGTCCGGAAACGCCATTCACAATGGCTTTTGGACCCACTGTTTACGAAAAGTAATAGGGGCCTGCGTGATCGCGAGAGTTGGACGTGCGTAGGGCCATTGCGCCGCTCACGTTTGATTTCCGTCTCACGACTCAGGTGGATGCCAGACTTGCCCTGTCGACATTTCATTCGGTTCCCCCCCCCTGCTATCGGTCAGTGCATGATTTGATCAAGAGCGAGTGAGTGTTGAACAAGGTAAGTCTAGCACCTGCCTCAGTGACATCGGACGTGCGCAGTTCGACGCAGCGCAATGGCCGTGCGCACGTCCGACTCTCGCAATCATGTGGGCCTCTATCTCAGGTAATCGCCGGGGACAGGCGGTCCGCCAACTCGCGCTTTTCTGCAAGCGGTCAGCAAAATTTTGGGGCGTGGCAAAGCCTTCAGCGAGCGGTACTTCCGTCTTCTGCCAACGGGCAGCAATACAATTTTATGTAAGCGCTCGTCAAATAATCTCTTTCAGCGAGCGCGGGCCAAACGTTTAGCAGGCGCTCGGACGCCTTTTAGGCAGCTTGAGGGTGAACGCGCAAAGGTGACACTCTACATGGCAGAGCCGTCATCGATGGTCCAATTACCCGAGTTTGGGGTACTTTCTCCAAGCGAAAGGTGCCTACGGGCTGTGCGGTCCTCCACAAAG